CATAAAGTGTAAACATCTGGTTTCAACTGTGAATATCCTGCTGTGTATTGAAATCCCTCTTGTTTTGCATAGATATACTGAACAACATCCAAAGCATAATATATAAAATAACATCTACCAGAGTTTTTTCTTTGAAAGAAGCTCCTTATGTCCATTGTTGTGTTCATCAGTACACAACTGAAACCGATTGAGAGGGTTTGTTTAGCCGTGGAGGGAAACAACTGAAAATATGAAATGAAAGCTAAGACTCTAAAAAATCAGCGTTGCTGTTCGGCTTTTTATTTGTCTATTTGTTGATTCACTCGAAGAGCAAGTAACGCAACCAAGTGATCAGTTTGATATCAATCTTTTGTGATACACCGTCATATTTACATTATTAGTTCAGTATGAATGATTTGCTTTGGTACCTGGTCAAACTTAAGCTCTCCTCTGTCTGCAGCAAACTCGCAGGCAGCAGCTTCTCGCTCACATGTGTGCTGTGCTCAGTCGCCTAGTGCCTGAGCTCGGATCATATCAAAATTAGGGGGAATTTACGACGGTGCGCTCTGTGCTTCGTGTAGAGATGGCACGATACCACTTTTTTATGTCCGATACCGATACCGATATCATAAATTTGGATATCTGCCGATACCGATATGAATCCGATATAGTGTTTTTTAATCAACAAAACTGTTTTTTAAAATATCTTGCTGCATTTTGCAAGTCTGCAAGTTCATACTCAAGTTTAAAACAACAACTACACTAAAGCTATTCTGTTATACCTGTATACAAAAAAAATATTTCATAGTTCAGCAATACTGATCAATCTAATAAACTTAGACCTACACCATCCTCCCTATTCTGGTATTTTAAAGAGTACTTAGCGTAAATATTAAGCAACCTAACTAATAGGGTTCCAACTCCCAGCAACAACAAAAATAAATAAATAAAAATAGGGAACCACCCCTCACGCTCCACCTCATGATGCTTAATCGACGTAATCAACCTTAATTTGATGCAGTGTGAAAAAAAATGCACAGAAATCAATTATTTTTCAAGAAATATTAAATAGATTCAACATCTTTCTTCAACAAAATTGCAGACTGCACAGATGGTACCTTCCCAAAGTAAAAAGTACTATAGCTTACTAGGGTATATATTAGACTTAATAGTCACTATATACAGTAATTGACTTCTATTCATTTTACATCAAATTAAAACTTTGGGTGTCAGATAATTATTTATTAAAAGCTAGACATTTTAAATGAGAATAAGAAAGAAAAGTATGTCTTTGTGCCCCCTTTTCCCTGTTCATGCCCTATCGGCCCCCCTGGCTAAACTTTGCTAGATCCGCCCCTGCACAGTTACAGCCGTCAGCTACATAGAAAAAGATCCTCGAGTAGAAAGTAATAATAAATAAATTCTAACAACAGCTTATCAAGGTTAAACGTGCTGCTGTTGTTCAGCCGCTGGTTTCCTCTTTCTGGTGCAAAGTGGGCCAAAAACAAACAGAGAGACGGACTCGCGACAGAAAAGCCGATCAGCTGATCATTTAAGCAGTTTCACGATTGAAGTAGCAGCCGGAGAGCGAGAGGCAGTCGCTTGTTAAGCTTAACGTGGGAATGCTTTACAAACATTCAGAGATGGACTTACACACTTGCTTTACTTCTCTCGGGGATAACTTTGTCGGAGATGAAATGCCAGGTTGCTAGCGAAGCTCCACATGCTATCCAGACCACCGACAGGTCCGGCATGCCACAGCTGCTCTATCACGTGATGCATACTGCTCCGAGTGCTAACGTTCTGAGGTGAGTTACGGCGTGTTGCAAGTTTTGCGAGGTGCTTTCGTGATATTTAATGGATCGGATTACATTTTTTATTTTTCTCGATATCCGATCCAGTAATTTAGGTCAGTATCGGACCGATACCGATACGTAATATCGGATCGGTCCATCTCTAGCTTCGTGTGTTGTTTTTGTTTTATACAGTTGTCAGTCAGGCATCTAACTAACAAATTACACTCCAAAAGACCCCATGCTTCTGAAAAAATGACCCGGGCTTAAGCCCAGTAAGCCACCCCCCGCTCCGCTGATGGTTGACTCCAAATCTCCCGAACACTATGTCGATTTGAGAATGCAAGACCGAAACAGCGAGACCAAGACCGAGACCAAAGTCAGTCGAGACCAAGACCACGTAAAAGTGGTCTCGAGACCAAGACCAGTCTCGAGACATCCAACTCTAGATAATATCTCTTGGGTGGTATGGGAACTCCTTGGTGTTCCCCTGGACAAGCTGGAGGAGGCAGCTAGGGCAGGGGTGGGCATTCTCAGTCCACGAGGGCCGGTGTCCCTGCAGGTTTTAGATCTCACCTTGGGTCAACACACCTGAATCACATGATTAGTTCGTTACCAGGCCTCTGAAGAACTTCAGGACAGGTTGAGGAGCTAATTTAGCCGTTTAAATCAGCTGTGTTGGTTCGAGGACACATCTAAAACCTGCAGGGACACCGGCCCTCGAAGCCTGGAGTTGCCCACCCCTGAGCTTAGGTTGCTACCCGGCCCCAGAGAGTCTGAAGAAAATGGATGGATGTATAGATGTTCCAGGTGTGTCGCCATGTGGGGAAAAATGCTTCAACACATGGTTGGGTTGGTAGTGTACCGGGGGCTTCTATTTAGGACTACGCTTCCTCCTCACCATCACTCAGCAATCATGTTTTCCCAACTGCTCGGGAAAATCCGATGGAAGAGAACTGACGGGGCCTCCGGAGCTACAAACAAGCTACATTTATAACAAGTATAGTTATTAGTAAAGTAGGCCAAGGGGTAACTAAACATCTGAGCAGGAAAGAGTAGGAGAGACAGGTGAAGAGCTAATGCTAAGCTAGCGAATCCCTAAAGACACAGTGACTGAACACTGTAAATATAATTAGTGGGTGATTCAACAGAGTGTGCTTTGGATAAAGCGCAGGAAGATTACACTATGAAATAAGACGTTATCTATAAGTTTTTAATTAAATTGGCTACACAGATAAGCAATGCAAAAATACCACTGTAAGATAGAACAGGAAGTGATACTCCAGACTGAGACAACACCAAGAAGTATTTTGAAATGACCTTGAGCAAGATACTGAACTCTGAGTCGCTATTGATAAATTTGTGCAAATGTGTGTCTGGTACTTAAGTATAAGAAAGAGCATTTACATGAATGTTTGTGCGACTGGCTAATAAGAATTTTGAGTGCTCAATTAGAGCACAAAAACACTGTATAAGTGCCAGTCTACTTGCCGTTTTTCTGCACCACCTTTAGTTTCCAAACCTACTACTGCACCCATTTGTGCTTAAAGGTTGAGAGGTTTTCAAAATTCAAACAAAATGTAACTGTACTATGAAGCTGTCTCCTCCTCAAATAATAATTATATAAATAGAAAAAGTTGGGACAAGCACAAAAACCTGGAATCCTGTTAACAAACAAGCAGAAAAACCAACGTCACTGGGGTAAAACGTGTTTGAAGATCAAATATGTACACAAAACTGACATTGGGTGATGCAAAATGGAGGGAAGAGGAAGCAATTTCTGTTTGGTATTATTGTCTATAGATAATAATATGCTTCAGAATATCATAACCATGAGAGCATGCTTATTTAATTATCTGCTTTGTGTGCTGAAGACCTTAAATTCTTTCAACCTATCTGCTCAGCCCCGGCTTACTTTTCTACCTCCACTAGTTTCACAGAACAATCATGGAGACTAGTAAACACCAACATAGATATAGTACATCAAACTGTTCATCAAACTCAGATGTTCATGTGGTGTCTTAAAGAAATGCAGCAGCGTTTAAAGATTTCTCTCTGTTTGTTGTTTGACAGGCTCAAATGTGCCCATACCTGTGCAAAGGAACAAGTTGTTCTAGAAAAAGTAAGTAAATAAGCTCGGATGTTTTCGAATTTTGTTTACTTCATTATAATAGAAAATCATGTTCCTATACATTTATTTTACCAATTAAAGCTTTGTCAGGATAACTTTAGTGGAAACATTTGGTTTAAAACAAAAAACAATGAAATGTCATATATTTTAATTGATCAGGGTCAGAAGCATGTAGCTGGGATGAGTGAAAGGCATATAAACCAGAACACCAGACGAACACATCTCCTCAATTTACAGCCTGTGTTTGTGATTTTTTTGTGCAGATACTACATATGTGTAACATCTTCTTTCTGTTTCCACAGACAACCAAGAGATGGGAGAGATTGATGCAGCTTGAATTTTATGCTTTTCAAATTTGCCTGAAATAGCTTTGTTTAAAATGAGAAATGAAAATGTATCATTGTCTATACTTTTCACCTGTCCGTTGACTTAATCCCAATCACGCTTGTGTAATTGCTAGTCAGCTGTATGAAATACTAAAAAATGAACAAAAATAAACATTCATTTTCATTTCTAGTAAGTTTGTTTCTTTATTCCACAAATCCTACAAGTCTACAGGTCAAAAATACACATTTAACAAGTAAAGATATGAACTCAGTCTTGTACTAGTATTTTCCTGACAAAAAGATATAAAACCAAAGGTTAATCTACTTAAGTAACAGTCAAACAGAGTGGAAATGGCTTTCAGTGAGAAAAACAATATTATTTCCCCAGTATTACTCTCCTCAAAGTAAGAGTAAGGCCAGTCAAAAGAGTAAGTGAAATGCACACCGCCTTCGCTCCATGTTGCTTTACTGTTGACTGAACTACTAACTTGGGGTTTGCTCTCTCTGTTAGTACAAGAATTAATAATTGATCAACAAATTGATTTACTCTGACTTACAGAAACCTGGTTGCAGCAGGATGATTATATTAGTTTAAATAAATCAACCACCAATCATCAATCAAATGTGTTATGTACTGCTGTACTTTATTCACAATGAGTAAATAAGAATTTCATTAAAATGACTTTATTTTGGACTGTCACTTTAATTTTGTTTATACAGTACCAAATCCAAACAACAGTCGCCTCATGGTGATTTATGTTTAAGATAAAGACCCTACAATAAACCCCAACAGTAAGATGAGCCCCTGTTAACAAGCACCTGGAGTCAGTGTGGAGGAAGAACTCCATTTTAACAGGAAGAAACCTCCAGCAGACCACGGCTTAGGGAGTGACAGCCGGTTTGAGGGGAGGACAAAGGGCAGAGAGGCAAATATTAACTTCATGTGGCCTACAGATTAGCTCGACAACAGTGCATAGAGGGCTTCATGGAATGGGTTTATATGGCCAAGCAGCTGCATCCAAGCCTTACAACATCAAGTGCAACACAAAACATCAGATGCAGTGTTGTAAAGCATCATTGTGAGGGGCGCTTTTTGTTAGGAGCTGGGCTCTGTCTTAGATCCAGTGAACTAGTGTTGGTGTGAGGGTCTTGGGGTTTGGGGTCTGGGATGCAGGGGGCCTGCAAGGAGTATGGAGCACCAGTGCCCGGAGTCGCCAGTTTCATGGTTTGGTCTCTCCATGCGCAGGGGGGGTCCACGCCTCCGCAGGGGGGTCCACGCCTCCTCGGATGCACTATCATGTGGAGCGAGCTGGCCCATGTTGGGAGGTACGATCTGCGCTTTAGGGAATCTCAGGAACCTCAAGGACCTTTGGGGGAAGCAAAATCCCACACCTAAGCAGCAGGCGTGGGGCATTTTGGGTAGGTTAGGGGCAGCTTGTCTTGTCCTTTCTTTGTGTGTGGATAACTGGCATGGGATGCAGCACATGGAAATCTGCAGCAGTGCAAGGCTCTTGTTACAGCCCTTCTAGGTAAACACAGTTCAAGTGCTGCAGTAGAGAAAACCTGACAAAATTGCACGGCAAAAAAAAAAGAAATAAATAGAGAGCAACTTTCCCCTGGCTGCTACACACCTATCTTTCATTAAAAAATGTAAACCATTATGTGACTCACAATTCAAATCATGTAATTTTATTTATAGAAAATAACATTTTTATTTCTTTAAATAAAGAAAGTTTTAACAAAGCTAACACAATAGCTCGATGATAAGCATAAACTTGTTGCCGTCACATTACGCAGCACATTTTAGGAGAGCTGGTCTGGGAGTTTGCCTTCTGTCGGATGAACTCTGGATAACAAACCAGAAGAGGAAAACAGAGAAAAGAAAAAAAAGTAGACACATTCCAGTGAACAAACAGAAAAACAGTCTTACGGCATTATTGGTCTTTCTGTGGAGAAATATTGTTAACTAATATTGTATGACTGTTAAAACTGACAAATAGTCTGACCAGTGAAAGGAAGTGACCTCCCTGATTAGCTCACCTGCCAAATCTGTCCGGGAGATTTCCACCAACCCCTCATAGAGGCCTTTGGTAGGGTTTTCTCCAGCTACGAGCACTCCATGAAGCCAGATTAACAGCATCCGGTGACCATGATCTTTGAAGCTTTTCTTACCTTCAATTTAGATTTATATCAAGCATTATCCATCTGAACTTTTAGTTAAACACAGTCACTGTAGACAGTTCTTATACCATCAGAACATTTATAGAATCACAGTAACTAACTAGTTCATATAGTCCACTGGGTCTGTATTGTAACCACAGACCAGCGTTAAGCAAGCGAGGTACTTGGCCAGTAAGCAAAGCTGAATGACATCCTGATATCTTACATTTTAAGTGCTCCAACAAAATGAAACAATATTTTATTTTATATAATTTAATATTTTATTTAAAGTTCAACTTTAAATTAAAAAAAAGGTTCAACAGGTTAAAAGTCAAATAGAGTTTAAAAGCAAGGTGTCAAAGATCTGGCATTTGGAATTAAAGAAAAAAGCTGTGCCCAGAATGTAACTCTTGCAACAGTGTACAAAAGCTGAAAAACTTATTACAATCCATGTTGCAAACTGCTGTCATCTTGGAGAGACTGCTCTTGGTTGGAGGACCAATCTACCCAAAGAGAAAGATTAGCAATTATATCCAACTATGTCCAACAAGGACAAGTGTGGGTTTGGATGGACGGAGGTACAGTATCTACCATTCAGGAGGAGGGCAATCTGGTGGGCAGTTTAGCCAAGTTATTGGCCAGTAGTTGGATGGGACCGGCCCCTTCTTGGGATCCTTGGGGATCAGGACAGCCTTCGGTTAGACATTCCGGGTGGATCTCAACCATTAGCACCTGGTTCATTTGTGCTGCAGGATGCTAATGGAGTTAGCTTGTTAGCTTCCCTATCCAGTAGGTGTTAAACATGGCAGGGAATGGTGCTGTCCAATCCCTCTGCTTGACATGTCTGCCACTGTGATGGTTACTGGATCCTTTCAGGGAGGTTGTTGCAGTCTGCTCTTAGATCCACTAGGCACTGAGCATTTCTGTTATGTGTTGCATCCTTCTTACATATACTCTTCAGTATTGCTCTGTCTCCAGCGTTGGCGGGGCTGTTCTCATTTTGTTCTGCTGCCATTCAGACTATACTTTGGGTAGTTCAGTGGAGAACATCTGGTTTATTCTCCTGGCTTTTATCTCTCTGGTTAACCAAGATTCAGGTATCAGGTATAGGCAGTTGTAGTTGTGCTTCAGGTCATCATTATAAGACAAGATATTGTATGATAATAGACGTTTTTCTACAAAAAAGTGATGTTGTAAAAAAACCAAAAGAAAAACAACACCATCTGCTCTCTGAAATATTAAGGATTAAGCATCCATTTACTCATGTCAGACTATCCATATATTCTAAATAGATCTGTAGTTCATTTGTTGTAGTAGAATTGTAGAAAGAATTCTTGATCTGGGTTAAAATTGACCTAGACCAGAGTTAATCACCTCAGGTACTCAGAATGCTGTAGAGTGAATCAGTCAGTGCCAAATTTGAGAATTTATTTTCAATAAAATCACTGGACCCATGAAACAGTGCTTCTATGGTTCTGGACATTACAGGCCTTATATTACAGTTTTTCAAACTTGTATGATTTCCTGTGTAAAGATTTATATATATATATATATATGAAAAAACCCAACAAGTACAAAAAAGGTAATAAAAATAGCAATAAAACTGTCAATAATTTTTTTAGGAACTCAGCACTGCTCACCTGTCCACTGTTGTTCTATAGCTTGTATATGTGCTTCACTAAAGTCCCAATGCTGAGCGAGAATCTTCCACTCCCCATAACACAGATGCTTTGTGGCGAGGGTCCATAAGACAGAACGGAAGTGCTGTGTCTCTGGCTGATGGTCCTGTTTGAAGCTCAGAGGTCTTCTTACCTGCTCACATCCCCCGTGATCCTGAATTCAACAGGGAGAAAGTTTTGTGAGTCGTTCGAAGTTAAAAGGATGTTATCACGTTTTATGCATATGATGTACAAAGAAAACAAACTCTCAGTACCTCTTGCTTTTAAAACTAGCACAAAGAATTTACAAGATACTTAGCTGGTTTGTTAAATACCTTCTCCAGGAACAAAAGGCAGTACACAGCTGTTTTACACCTTAAGCTTCACACTCCCTTGCTACCTCCAAAAGTCATTTCCTTCTAAACCTAATACGTGGTTTTGTCATCTAGCAAGAACTGCAATCAAGCATTTGCAATAACTCATAAAAAAGCACTTGGGACAATTGTGTTGGTGACAGCTTTTGTTATAATATCAATAATATTCATATGAATATGGGATACTGTTACATGTTTGCACAGACTTTTGTGGAATATGGAGACACTCCTGGCATTATATGAGCAAAGTGAGACTCATTTTTTAGGGTTGGTGGAGATGAGTGTGAAGATCCAAACAATCCCTGTCAGTGATGGAGAAGCTTTGATGAAAATATTTGGTAAAAAGTTCACCAGCATGAAGGAAATGAAGTTTCAAACTTTCCTTAGGAGGAGCCCAGCACGCCTGCTTAAAGAAAAGTGAGTGTGGCGATGTGGATGCTTGCAGCGACTGCTGTATAGAGGCCATCCTGCTACACATGAAACACATCAGAGTCATAACTGTTATTTTAGTCACGTGTTTGTTTATTATCCTTATTGTTTTATCTGGGACTGTTTGCAGACATCTCAGAGAGAGGAGACACCAGCATCTGAACAGAGACTCAAACCAGCAACCTGCAGCTCCCTGCTTGGCTGCTCCAGTTTTCTCCTCACTCATGTTGCCCACCAGTGATTTCTAGCTGCCCACCCACACAGCAGGCTAGAATATGCGCTGAGCCTCAGCACCCAATACTTGGACATGTTTTCTTTATTAAATAATGAACCAGACCCCAAAAGTAAACAGCTGTTATTGCTAGGCAACGGGAGCAGCCTTTGGCGATGCAGCACCTGACATTCCTGACCATGTGGGCGGAGCATGCATGAAATGGAATGTTCAGTAGAACTGTGCAACACAAGCACTTAGTTCCAGCATGTTTCATTGTATCCAGACACAGCTAGAGACACATCTACAGCAGCATCTCTGTGCAGGACAAACGACAGTTGACGAAGAAACATCGAAAACTTCACTTCACTCCTCTACAAAACGTTGGCTCCTTTGTTTAAAAGGCCAAAATGAATCGAGGGAGAACGAGAAGAGGATCGGCGAGTGCTTCACCTCACAATTCAGTACAGCTGATTAACCTGCAAGAAGAACTTCAAATGATACAGGCTGAAAATATCAAATTAAAAGAAGAGGCAGAAAAATCAAGAGGAGAAGCTAAAGATTCAAAGTTTGAAACTGATGTAGTATTGCAGGAATTACTGCATGTGGGTCTCAAACTTAAAGGAGAGAAAATGGGAAAACAACAGGCAGAAAAGGAGAATGAAAAGATGAAGAAAGAACTGTTGGAAGCTCAAAAAGCATTGGAGGAAGAGAAAAGCACAGCACAAGAAGCCAACAATAAATATCAAACTGCAAAGAAGGAGGCAGGAAATGTGATGCAGGAATTACAGGAGGTGCAGGAAGCTTTTGAAGAGGGAAAAAAGAAAATGCAGTTGGCAACTCAAGAAGCTGCAAATGTAACAGCTGAAGCTGAAACACTAAGGAAGGAATTACTGCATGTAAAGCAACAACTTGAAGAGGAGAAAAGACGTAAAGATGAGGCAGAAAATGAGATTGAAAATTTGAAGAAAGAATTGTTGGAAGCTCAAAAAGTGTTGGAGGAAGAGAAAATTAAAATACAGGAAGCAAAGAAAGAAATGGAAGATACAAAGAGTCACACTGAAAACATGAAGAAGGAACTGATGAAAGTGCAAGAAGAACTTGCAGAAGAGAAAATTGAGGTGAAGGTATTCAAGAAAGAAATGACGGTGACCAAGAAAGACTGCAAAGACGCACTGAAAGAAATGCGAAAGCACAAAAAGGAAGCTAAAGAGCTCCTCAAACACAAAGGGAAACTGGCCAAACAGCAGCTGAAAGAAAAATTTAAAGATGCCGAGGAGCAGCTCAACAAGACCTTAAACGAACTGAAGGCAAAAGAAAAAGAAAAGCAAGCTGAGGACAGGAGGGGATTCTGGAGCAGACTGCTGAGAAAGAACTGACCCAGCAGCATCAATAGTTTCTTCCTCCTAATGTTAAAATCTCCACCTTTCTTTCACCCCATCCTTCTTCTTGGGACGTTTGCTTGTTTTTTAAAAACTGAAATGCACAAATAAAATTGCCATAACTTGACCTCATGTTGCCTGCTTCTTTTCTTGTGTGTCTGTGGATGTAAAACAGTAACACACTTTCTGCTCTGTGTCTTTAATTGTAAATAAATGCAATATGTTTTCATTTTAAAATGCAGTGCAAAAAACTTCTGCTCTGAATCTTTTTTTTAGCAAAAAGCTTTTTGTTGGCTGTTGTGGAAGTTTTCCATTTAAATAAAGCCTGCAGACGAGCGGTGAGCGGTAGCTAACATTCTTTAATCAAACACACAAAGAACAGACAACCAAGCTTGATGAAGTCCCTGCATGACCGCGGGACAGACGGTCAGCAGAGTCTGAGCCCAGCATGGCTCTCAGTTAAATATCTCCAGGAACAAAAGGCAGTACACAGCTGTTTCACACTCCCTTGCTGCCTCCCAGAGTCCTCAAAGAGACAAAAGACTCTTCCTGTGGAGTTGTCTGCTTCCCCCAACTTCCTTACTACACCCCCACCATTTGTCTTACTGTATGAGTGTGAGACATGTTAAAATCCAGTGGCACCAAGGCATCATACAATAAAATAATGTGATTAATACATAAGTAAAAGAAATTCCTTTACATGCCCCTTCCTGATTTCTTATGTTTTAAGCATCTTGGAGACCTAGTCATAGTGTATGCTCTGAGTTGTTCTCGTTCTTTATAACTATGCCTGTATGCCAGGATTTTTTTTTTATTACAAAATCCAAAACAATTATTATGTATATAATGTGAAAAACTCAACAGGACATGGGTGCTGATACGCTGGAAAAGAGTGAAAATGTATTTATCGAATATGAGCACAGATTTCATATAAGGAGAGTGTATTTAGTATTAATATAGCGTTAGCAACACTTACCTTCTCCCATTTAGAAAAACGGTCAGCTTTAATTATCATGTCCACCAGGACGACATGGTTTCCTCTTGCTGCCACTTCCAGACATGTTTTTCCCTGCTGTGTACATTAGATGGCCAGAAAAGCATTGCTTTGTTAGAAGACACAGCTATGAGTGTCATAGATCTGAATCTATACTAAAACAGTTATCATGATGCTGTGCTACAAGATTAACTTTGTCCGGACAAAGAAAAAGTGAACTACGCATCAAGGTTTCAAATGGTGTGAAAAAAGATAAATATTCTACTTAAGACTAGCGTAACAAAGATCTTAATTAATATGATATAGAAGGATCAATGCACCAACTGAAAACTGTTTTTATTTGTTAGTGTACAATGTGAAATACACAGCTCAAAAAAGTAAAGGAACACTTGATCATCAACCACAAGTTAAACTTTACGGATATCAAGCTGTCGTCTTCGGAAGTGTAAGTGAATCAATTAATTTCACCTTTTTTTGGTGCAAATCAAACAGGTGTACTGAAGACGTTCCAAGACAAACCTTACTGTGTTATAGCACCACTAGAGGGGGTTGCCCTACTTTACTAAGGAGGTGGCAGATGACATCAACAGGATGTACAGCGTTGGTAGGGAGGCATTACAGTATTCACATGCAGGTAAAGGGGGTGTGAGTGTGTATATGGGTGTGTGTGGTCATACAGGAATGCAAGTAAATACGTTATCCTCCGACACACCTCTCATCTGTGCAGAACTGCGCTGAACACGTTCCCAACCGGAAGTACAGATACCGAGGTGCATCATGGGTAACGTAGTATAAACAGTTACAATGAACAAGCGGCGTATGGCTCCTGTGTCAGTGAATCCAAACTACCTCTATGTTTGAACAATCCAGTTACACAGCTCAAGAAAATATTACTCTGACAGAAGGAAAAGGCAGTATGTGTCTCAGTAGTACTAAAAAGCTATTATATCAAAACGTAAAGGGAAAACAGTTTGATGAGCTGTATAGTGAACTGAAACTGAAACAAAACGAAGCCTATCATTAGGAATACTGACTTTTTACAGCTTCAGTTCTTTTTTCACTCAGTAGGTGGCAGCAAACTACAAACAATGGTTGCATTTTACACTCATCCGTTTTCATTAGAGGCAGAAGCCAGAAGCACATCCAGGTTTAGGTCTGCTGCTTGGTGCTACACAGAAACAGGCTGAACAGACTGAAACTCACATGAATTTGGACGAATCGAAGTAAGAATGTCACTTCTGCTCAATTGAATTGATTATCATGACCCTCACTAAGAGCCACTTAATAAGTTAGGAGTAATGTGCCAAAGTAGTATAAATATTTGAACTTTTGGCAAATCCAGCAGGTTAATGAAGTGATTTCACATCATGTGTTCAAACGGCTTGTCAGTTTTTAATATATCCCATGTGCGCATACTTAAGCTTTAAAAAATACAGTCCAATGACCTGATAGATGTTTGCTGAACATTGTGGTTTACATCAGCACTTAAACTAAAACATAAAGAACCTGTTTTGTGTGAGCTGCTCGATACCATGAAGCAAGACCTCTGAACATCTCAGTTTTTACACACACACACACACACACACACACACACACACACACACACACACACACACACACACACACACACACACACACACACACACACACACACACAACAGGAGTTATAAGGTTAATGGGCATCCAGTCAGTTAGCTAGTAAGTATTTTGGGTTTAATATCGGCACATATGGCAAAATAACCAGTTTCTCACATTAAATTTCAAACAGGACAGTGGTAACAACAGCAGGCTACGGACAATCTGAAGTCTTAGATTTTAAATAGGCTGTATACATTTCAATGGGAGCAACAGGACGGTCAAATATCGCTGATTTTACTACAGAGCAGGACGGATTGTAGGGTAGCAAACATCGTGGGGAAACGCGTTTTCAACACTGCAGGTTACCTGGTGTAATGTTTTTCAGCTAAAAAGAAACATGGCCCGACTCCTACCAACTATATAAAGAGTAACTGAAGGTTAAATGCAGCTAATGTGTCCTGTTTTAAGACAGGCACTTCCACCTCCGCTCCGCTGCGTCTCAGACACCATCGCTCTGGATTTTTGGGGGATAAAATCGCCCCTGCTTTCACCTCATGAGTGTTTTTACAGTAAGTCGATGAGCTTCAGTGTGCTGTTATTCTACTGAGATCATAGGTCAGTCATCTTCTCCTAACCAGTTATTTCTTACAGTGTAACATAACGTGTTTACCAAAGTAATCACATTCCCCTTTTTTGTGGTTCCCTATCATGAATAAATGTACTGTTTAAACCAGTGTGCCCAAATCTAAGCTTGTGTTTGTCATTTCTCCTACTTTAATTTTAGAAACCTTCCTTCCTATTATTTCTACCACATTTCCATCTCTTTTTTCCCCTTACTATGCTCTGTGTGATCCTGTCCATGACCCTGTACTTTTGCTAGAGAGATAAGTTTTGGCAGCTCTTTTCTAATTTCTAATGACATTTTTCTGTGTCTACCAATAATGTTTCTGTTGGAGCTGTTTTAAGTACAACTATCCAGAATCTTGCCTGATATTGAATACAGTTTCATTTCAGGAGAGCTGTGTCTGCTGCTGCATCATATACAACACATCTACAGTATAGCACAGATCTGATGAACCCACTTTCACCTAAACACTGAATTATATTTAATGCCTTCTTGCATTCATTCGTCTACTATTTTCTGAATAGAATAATAAGGAAGGGCACGCTGCTCCTCCACATCGAAAGGAGCCAGCTGAGGTGGTTCAGGCATCTGACAAGGATGCCTCCTGGGCGCCTCCTGGGTGAGGTGTTCCTGGCATGTCCCACTGGGAGGAGGCCCTGGGGCAGACCCAAGACACGCTGGAGAGATTATATCTCTCGGCTGGCCTGGGAACGCCCTGGTGTTCCCCCAGATAAGCTGGAGGAGGTGGCTGGGGGGAGGGAGGTCTGGGCTTCTCTGCTTAGGCTGCTGTCCTCGTGACCTGGCCCCGGATAAAGCGGATGAAGATGGATGGATGGATGGATGGAAGGATGGATGGATGGATGGATGGATGGATGGATGGATGGATGGATGGATGGATGGATGGATGGATGGATGGAAGAGCACACCATATTCCCTGGTGTTCCACTTTCCACCCAAAGTCTTTCAGAGTAACTTGTATTTGACTATACAATAAATAAAATCCTTCATCATCTAAAAATTCAACCATTGATAACAGTTTTCCTCATTTTGTTTACTAGCCCCTCTCTAAACATCATGTCTTATATTTTTCTCATTTCATGTTCTAAACATTATGCTGGAACCACTTTGATATTCTATACAGTGTGATCCTCTTTCATTTATAATTTTCTCCATTATTTTGCAGATCTTGGATGTTAAAGCTCTGATTTGAGTACTCGCATTCAGTTAAAAGGACTAGATGCTACAGTCCCTGATAAAGCATTGCTTTAGATGGAGAGACTCTTGAGGGATGGCTGTTATGAGGAAAGGCAGCCCAGAAACTTTGTCAGCAGCACGCACCATTGTGTGCCTCAACTTTTGGTCTTTTACCCAGGCTAATCTGCCATTTTCCTTCCTTGGTTAGGTTTAGGGATTAGAGATCAATCTAGATTATCATTTTAAATTTGGGACACATCATCAGTAGTGGACCTTGGATTCATCACGTGTTTCGGCCATTATCACTAGACACCTTCATCCAAGGAGGCCCTGCCAGGGTTGATCAGGCCCAGTGTGTCACTGATTTATGTTAAATTGTTATTTCTCTTCTTCTTTTTTCTGTTTAGTTTCCTACAGTTTATTTTCTATCTATTTACTGCAACTGAGAAATAATACTTACCTCTTTAGCATTTAGAGCGGAATATTTCTTTTCTCTCGTGGTTAGCTGACTGCCTTAGCTGCCCAAGTGGTGTCAGCCCTTTTTAACCATAGCCAGTGACTGGTCCTCTAAGCAGTGTTAGCTAGTTCTCTTATAGCCTGCTGTTGCGCCTGTCCTCTGATCCCAATCTTGTTAGGATGCCTGGGTCGTCGACCCAGGGGTTTTGAGTTTATTATATTATTTATACTTTCTAGTCTTTGGTTTCTTTGAGTTCTGTCTTATAGTTTATGTCTCTGTCTTCTCTAGCTGCTCTGTCTCCCCTGTCAGCTGTATCCCCTTGTCTAGTTCGCGTCTCTGTGTGTCCTTAGTGGCTATATCCCCGTGTCCAGTCAATGTCTGTGTCTGCCCTGGTCCCACGTCTCTGTTCCCTCTGTTGCAGTGCGTGCGAGTCTGTGTCTTTGTTCAGTCTGTGTTATGTTTCCTGTTTTACTTTGAAAGTCCATGTCTGATGTTAATGTGTCTGGTTTTGCTTCCCCTTGTCTCATTAGGTCTGATTTGCCCCAGCTGTGTTTCCCTCCTGTTACCCATTCCCTGATTGCTCCCTCTGTGTATTTAAGCCCTGTGTTTCTCTGTGTCTGTGTGGCGATCTACTGTTTACGTTGCTGTGTGTTTTGTCAATCTGCTGGTGTTAGTTTATTTTTGAGGTTTTCCAGTTATTTTATGTTTGCGTTCAGCATTAAAGCTGTTTTGGTTTAAGTTCTGTCTCCGGAGTCTGCACCTTGGGTCCTATCCCTGTCCGCACACAGCCGACACTTAACAGATCTCTCTAAGCAGTTTTGCTGTTGTACTGGCAACAAAGCCCCTGCACCCCACTTCCACAGGGCGCACCTTGATCTTCCAGCCTCTGTCCTCTGCCTCAGCTGACAAGTTGGCATTGCGCAGCTTCTTGCGCTCAAATGCTTCCTCAATTGCTTCCTCCCATGGTACCGTCAGCTCAATGACATACGCAAGTTTTTGAGAGTTAGACCAAAGGACGAGGTCTGGTCGCACAGTAGTTGTTACAATCTCTGTGGGGAAAATTAGCCTCTGATCCAAGTCCACTTGCATCTGCCAATCCCTTCAGCGGGCCCAGGTCTGGGGTTGAGGGGCTTGTCCTCGGCTTGTTAACAAGAGACATGTTTGTCTTTCATCCTGTCGTCCTTCTCTCTGCCCAGCCAATCACAGCAGATGGCCCCGCCCCTCCCTGAGCCTGGTTCTGCTGGAGGTTTCTTCCTGTTAAAAGGGAGTTTTTCCTTCCCACTGTCGCCAAAGTGCTTGCTTATAGGGGGTCATATGACTGTTGGGCTTTTCTCTGCATGAATTATTGTAGGGTCTACCTTACAATATAAAGAGCCTTGAGGCGACTGTTGTTGTGATTTGGTGCTGTATAAATAAAATTGAATTGAACTGAACTGATCTATGAATTTTAAAAAACAACCTTTTGCCAATGTTACCTTTTCATAATTTAGACCTAGATATTCATTACCTATAAATTTGCATTATATACAGAACAATTTAAATCTTCAACATCAACATATTTTGCATTTCCTGATCACTACCTAACGTAATTGTTTCCTAATCAGCAGAACTGAAACACCACGTCTGGTGTCACCGCTGTGTCATACTCCTCTACACTCAGCTCTGTCTCTCTTTAAGTACCTGCTATGAACAAAAACTGGCCAGTGAATCTGAAACTAATGTGATTCCACAATTCCAGCTCTAACATTTAAGCTTTTACAGCTTATATCATGCAGATGAATCCATTCATTCTTCAATAACTGCTCCATTCTGGACATTGTAATTCCATCTAACATGCTGCTTGCATCAAGTCCCCCACATCAAATTACTTTTGCTTGTGAATGTCTGCCAAGTTCATCCATTGATTGTGACGATCTGTCGCACGGGCTGTAAAAACGAACTTATCAAGGTTTCAATTATAATGTGTTCTAAGTGTGTTTCTATGGGATCGTTTGCTGCCCACCACAGTTACAACATTTATCTCGTACATTATTTTTAAATTCTTGGTGCGATTAGCACAGTACATTGATGTGTCCATGTTTTTGGCACCTGAGGGGTGAAGGGATATATGGCCTAACCGAAAAGCTTATGCATCCTATTTTAATTCTCTGAAGAAGAACAGCCTATTGACATTCCAACCCGATGTTTCAAAATTCCAGGTATAGATCTGCTAACCTGTTGTTTTTTTTTACAAACCTCACCACTGTTAACACTCTGTTACTGTTTTTCTAGATTGAACTGGAAAACCCGTCGTTACTCCCTGCATTACTTTGGTTTCTGCTAGTATCCTCTTCTCTTCTCTGCATATTCTCATCTTCCTTTCATTTCAGGGTAATTTAAAATTCCTCCTTTACCAGCTTTTGCCATATAATACATTTGTCCAAAGTGTTCTCCACTAAACTCTGTTTACTGCTCTGTATAAGCTTTCTACTTTTTCTCCCTGCTTCATGAGTAGGTAGAGAAAACATTTCTTCAGAAAAAAAAGTTACTTCTGTGGCATTTTATTATGAAAGATTTCATGAAGCTTCAAATATTTTTGTGTGGCTGTATCTTAGGAGTTGGAGCAGGTTGTGTATTTGGAGGTCATCTACTATTCGAAAGGTTGGCGGTTCAACAGCTGCTTCAGTCTACATGCCAAACTATCCCTGGCAAGATACTGAACCCCAAGTTGCTCTCTGACGCATTTATCAGGATGTGAATGTTAGATAGAAAAGTCAGATAAAAAGCACTTATGCATAAAAAAGAGTTCATGTGTGAATGAAACATTTTATAAAACACTTTGAGTGCTTCAGTAGGAAAACACAACTGTATCTAAGAACCAGTCTATTTACCATTTTTCCACTAAAAACTGATTCCAGCTGCCTAAATCAATGTTATGCATCATCTGCCTGAGACACCATTATATTTCAGGCTCATCAGCACATATAAAAATCTCTGTCCGTCTGTGGTTGACTCAGTGTTTGGGGTTTTCATACAATAAAAATACATGATTACAGTGCAGGAACAGAAGGAAGCCTGAAAGCCTGTTCAGCCAGCAGGAGTCTCTGAAGTACAGCAGGTTGTTTTCTACAGCTTTTCTTTTCCAGTTCAAGTTTTGAAGTAATCAAAAAATGATAAAGAGCTCATATTATTATTTTCAGCCTGTTCCTTTAGGAATTGCCACAGCAGATCATCTACCTCCATCTTACCCTACACCGACAGAGATGTCGTCCTTCGACATCCATGCATCTACATCTATGCGTCTTCTCTGTGGTCTTCCTCTTCCATGGTAGCTTGATCGTTCAACATCCTAAGTCCCGTATATCCACTTTTAAACATGTCCATCTCAGCCTTGCCTGCAAGCCCCTCAACCTGAGTTTGTCCTTCTGATATGCACGTTTCCATCCTGTCGCTGTCCGTAACTGCAAAAACATACATCACAACAGGTCTCGCTACCTTATTGTAACCCTTCCCTTTCACCTTTGCTGCTATTGTCACCCCCTCCACCCCACCTGGCTAGATGTAAGACGCAGTCTGTCTCAAAGCGACTTATATTCCTGTTGGTTCCCATGCGTATCCCTCCAGGCTCTACCTGCTCACTACAATTATTTTTGATTTTTGTTACTCAAAAGAAGCAAAAGAAAACACAATAAACACAACGTGATACAAATGAGCAACAATAAAATTATAAATCAAACTGTTCATCAAGAACCAACAATTTACTGATGCTTAAATTGAAAGCATTTTGATCTATTTATTAGGAACACCTGTGCAGGTAATGCCATTGACACTGGACCGCATCAGAAAGATGATTAAAGTTTACTGGGTGGTAGCGCATTGGGCTCCTTTATTACATTTTTACATTGGTTGTTTTTCATAAGATAAAGTAATAACAAAGGAAATGAACCTAAATATTCACTCACCATTGAATTCTTAAAAATATATTTAATCAAAGTTTCATGACCACAGCATGGACATCACCTTCTCCCCGTCAATCTTATTAGAAACTTATGGACACAAGCCAACACCTCTCTAAAATGAACTTGGGCAGCCAATAGAGAATACAGCTATTTCAAATCACACAGGGTCAACTGATTAATGAAATAATCGAGCACAAATCTGGATTTCAGTCTCACATGGCGACAGACGTTTGCTTTTGGATTTTTCATGATGACCCCCAAACATTTCTTTTTCAAAGCAGCAGCAGGACAGTTAAATCAGCAATAAGCTTGAGACAGGATACACGTTTACAGCATGGAAGCAAAGCTTAGATTATTTTCTTTATCTGTGAGCTCTCAATGATGTGACTGCGTGCACTTTTCAGAGGCGTCGACGCAGCAGGAACATGAAGAAAACCGCACTGATGAGGATGCAGAGTGTACACACAGTGGGAACCACAATCTCTGTTACCATCTCCATGTGGCCTATCAATGGATCTGCAACGCGTACATGGAACCAAGAGTTAGTGTATCGCCATTTATTCAATTCAGCTTTATCTATTCAGCTCAAGGCATTTTATATTGTAAGGTAGACCCTACAATAATACACAATACATTTAGAGCCCCAGCTTACTTAGATTTTTGATTTAGTTGTGTACTATAAAAAATAATTTTTTCCTTAGTGCAAAAGCACATCACTCTTTTAACAGAATGATAAGATGGGATGCTATGGTGGTGAGGATCAGAAAAACCCTTTATATACTTCAGCATGAACATATTATACCAATTTTACAAAGAAAATGATAAAACTGTAACAAATACCTAGAGTTACAAATACAACTAAATATAAATGTAGAAATACGTGTTGAATATGTTTATGGTGTGAAGCTCTGACTGTATTACTTTTGGCTATTTCTAATATGGGTTCATTCCTGGTGTAAGATGATTCTATTCAGCAGCTTTTCCTTAACTTGTGTGACTCGTTCTATTGTGGAGTTCACCACCATCTGCACTCTAAAATACCTACGAGGATATTCAGCATTGTTGTGACATTATGTTGTGCATGAGCTTGGTGGCTGACTAATCTGAACAAAGAACATACAGTGCAAATGAAATACAAATAAAATAAATATTAATTGTAACATATTAAGTGTTATATAATGTTAGGAGTGATTAATTTAATTAAGTGATTGTCAAATGTGCGAGCAGGGCTTAAACTGAGCTGGAAGGACGTGGAATAGCGTTCCGGCCCCTTTAATTAATTTCAATCTAATAAGCAGATTAGTTCATCATTTTTTGTGTCCTGCTAGTATGGCAATATTTGCTGAGTAATAAAAAAAATCCTGATATCCTTTTTCCCTTCTCATCCCTGTGATTTGTTTATGGTGCAGATGTAAGTAAAAGTGGCTGCAGTACAGCAGAAGACGAGTGAGCATAAAGGGAGTGAAGCTCAAAATCCCAAACACACAACCAAACGCACAGTTTCTGTGCAGTTTGGTCCAAAATGTGTCTGCTCTCTAAAGGTGCAATCGCTGTGAGAGAAAAAGATGTTATTATGTAACAGTACTGGAGACGGGGAAAGAAAGACAGGATGGAGAAATTATTTTCAAAGTTAAGGACCGCTCACCACGTGAAATGTAAATTTAAAGCTTACATATAACACCCTCGCATATTCTAAGGCTCCTATCTGTACCTGATGTGTTGCTGAAATGTGTTTTGACTCAGTAAAAGCTGGGAGAATCACATTAATCTCACACAGCATCAAAGTATGTACCTAAACTTCATCATGGATTGACCAAGCCTGTTCCATTCCTGCAAGTTCCTGATTTTCCTTTGACTTTCTTCTAGCTGGAGGGGCAAAACAAAGAAAAACCCTGTTAGATGAGACAAAAACAAGCTTCAGACTGAATTTTCCTTTGTTTGGCCCCACCAAGCTTTTTACAGCCCACGCACTACTTCATTATACTAACCTGCAGCCAGCAGCTGGTTACTGGAGGAGCACGTCTCTACAGCTTTCCTCTTCCAACTTTCAACCTGTAAAGCCCAAACAAGCCCTTGTTTAAGCATAGTGTCTTCACCTCCATGGGGGACTTTTAGCATGAAGTGTGTAGCGTTTACCTCTCTCTGATTGGGAAAGCCATTTGAGCTGATAATGCGTTTGTAGTAGTGGACAGAAGCTTTTGGGTAGCGTGGCTTATTTTTGCTCCTGAAGTCCACGTAGTAGAGCCCAAACCTCTCAGAGAAGCCTTCATCCCACTCAAAGCTGTCGAGGAGAGACCAGGCCGTGTACCCCTTCACATTGACCCCATCTTTTATCGCTGTAAGTCGAATCGTGGACACTCGTTTGATTGACATCATATCTAATGTACACAGGTTTGATATTTGATAGGCAGTTTTTGAGACAGTGACGTCTTCCTGGGTTTCACCTTTGAGCATTTCGTTGATGTAGTCTTTGAAGTACTTCATCCTCCAGTCGTCACAAAGGTCGGTGCACAGCATTTTCTCTGACACGCCATTTTCTGTCACATAGATCATGGGGTTTCCATACTGAGTCTGTTAGTGAGATGCCATATCACATATTTTTGTTATTATATTTGCTGAAAAACTATATTTCAAATGAATACAGTATCACCCAGGTTCACAACAGAAAGACATCAACAATTTATATAATGCTGATACATTTGCCATACATGAACTTGTCATGAGTGATCAGTTCATCCAGTCTTCACTGTGAATATGTCCATGATGCAGTGGTTTCACACAAAGCCCCAGTTTCCCCCAAATACAGCTAGAGTTTTAATTTGAATAGCTCAGTAATCAGGATGTGTACCTTAACAAAGTTCAACAAGCGTCGGAAGCCCCAGGGAACGGAGTAGAGCCATTCAGAACCAGGGTCAGGCCATTGTGGGTCAACCAGTTCAGCAAGGTCACGGTCAGAGAAATAGTTGTCTCCAGCTCCTGATGGGTAATTCTTCAGAGTGACATAGCGAGTTGTGAAATGTCCAAGACCCAAGAAGTCACAGGTGCCCTTGATGTAACTTTTCTCCTGAGGAGAGAAGACGGGCAGCCGCGAAGCTCCCAGACCCTGCTGGCCACTCTTCCTGCCTGAAGAAATTTAGTACACTGTGAAACTAAGTGAAGCTATATGCAAGGCATCAATGACAGCAGGGGTGGGGGAACATAAGGAGCATAATATCAGACTGAAGTCACGCTAAAATTACAATGCACTAAATACTGAGTATGCAACTTCCTCTTATGCAAACAAAGAGAAGTGTTACATAGTGGATCTTGATTGATTCAGTATTCTGTTCAAACTAGCATGTGTACAGCTACTACACATGATGACACTGGAATATAGGAATTAATCTACCAGCGGAGGTAATAGTGCATTCACTCAGGTTAAAAGCATTCGTGGTGACTTATTCATGGCTGGTCACACGGAAAGTGAGGTGCATAGTTGTGTGACAAGTGTGTACACAAACCCCCAAGATCACAATAGGTTAGCACTTACTGCAGCGCATGGCTGTTTTCTTCCAGACCACAACATATTTGCTATCAACTACAAGTCAGGCTCTTAATTGCTATGTTTTGCTGTTGTGACAAAATCTGGCGAAAGACAGACATGTAACACTTTGCAAAGTACCCCCGGCCCCCCGTGCTTCTTTCTGCCAATAGAGGTCTTCCATATACCTCCGTATAGCAACAGCTTCTAGCTCAGCTCTTCTTCTCAGTTTAGCAGTTCAGCAGTGTGTGTTGACCACTGAGTTTGAAAAGGCCAGGATCACAGCAGCTGCTTTGGAAAGTATTACTTCCTATTCAGAAATTCATGAAAATAAATGAATGACGTGGTGAGATTTTTCTCTTTGAAAGGGATGTACGTTAAACTTCCCTTGAAAATTCTTGACACATGTAGTTATATCCTTTTTCTTTTTTGGGGTGAGGACATTTTTACATATTGCAAAGGTCTAAATGGTTGCATTTGACATACCAATGTAATCTTTCATAACTTGTGGGTAGTCTCCATGGAAGAGAGGTGTAGCAAACCAGCCCAAGTAGAACTGAATGTATCTCTCTGCTGCTTCGATATCCCTCTGGTTGGAGATGTCCACTGGTTCACCCCAGTCAGCAGTCAGCGAGATCCCAACCAGGCCTGCACACATGCAAGAGCTTTGTTGATAGAAATTATGCATGTGCATATATTATTTACACATAAATACAAACACACACACACATATATATATATATATATATATATATATATATATATATATATATATATATATAGATAGATATGAATGAATGAAAGTTTTCCCTTTCACCTTTTTGTTTGCTTCTCCACTGCATGTCATACGTGTGCCATACTTTAGCATGTGCCTGTTGCAAAGATAGAGATGCAGGTTTAGCCTTATGTCTGTTCACCATTATTTTTTCAATCAAAGGTCCCAGTGAGATACAGTATCTTTTCTGGGAGTAACAAAAGTAACAAAATAAGATGTGAGGCTTCACGAAGAATAACGTACAAACTGCTACATAAGCAACACAATATATTTGACCAATTTTAATGTAATATTTAACAAAACACAATAAACGAAAAAACATGTAGGAATCATACGGTAAAGAAAAATGTGTAAAATAATAACATAATTGTAAAGAGCATTTTTGTAAACACTGATTACAGTAGTGGTAAATAATTATTTGCTGCTCTGCTGAATTTAAAGTTTGTTCAGTTACAGATTCAGTAAAATATGTACGTGAGCAAACTTATAAATGAGCTCTCGACAGTTTGGTTTTAATGTAGGAGACAGAATATCAACCAAAACATGAAATCGTTGTTGGCAAGTGCAGCGATAAGACATTTTTATAGCTGATCACCAGGTTTGATTACATGTTGGGAGGGATTTGACCTTTGACGACTGGCTCAGCCACTTCATGACATTAATGTGCTTCCTGATGCCAAAGAACTTAATTTTGGTTTCATCTGACCACTGCACTTTCTGGCCTTCTCTTGGTAAAATTGATGGAATTATAATCTTGACAGCAACTGATTTGGAGCACCTTTGTTTTTCAAGTTTGCAATCATAGTATTAAAACGAATAATTGGAAATTATGGTAAATGATCAGATTTATCAGCAAAACTGGGCACAAGTCATTCAGTCCTACCTTGATGATATGGTGGGCGGCTTTGTAAGCTCCTGTTCCCTTCAGTTTCAGTCCAGGTGCATGTTCACCTGTTTCATATCCCTCCACAGCAATGGACTTAATAACGAGACACTGACAATCACTCTCTGACACAGCATACTGTATTACATTACAACTGCAAACTGTGAAGGAACCATTTTTCTTTAACCTGACATACCCAAGGATTGTTGAAAGTAATCCAGTACTTGACTCTGTTTCCAAATCTTTCAAAGCATAAGTTAGCAAAGTCGTTAAAGTAATTCACCATGCTGATATTGTGCCAACCGCCATATTTCTCATGTAACACCTGTGGAGAGTAACATAGATTTTACTGTTGTATCTACAATATAGCTTTGGATAAGAAACTATGTTGAGCAATAATATTAGTGCTTACCTGTGGTAAATCCCAGTGGTATAGAGTGACAATGGGTGTGATCTTGTTATCTAGTAGCATGTTAATCAAGTCACTGTAATATTTAATTCCTTTCTCATTGATTTTTTCACCTGTAAGAATTGAAAGTGACATACACTACATGGAGCAAAGTGCTGGGAAACTATACATTACACCTAATGCAATTGTTGGTTGTGGAAATCCACAGCATGAGGCTCACGCATACAGTGTGAGCACAGTTTTTGTGCATCCATGAAAAACTTGCCAACCAGCTCGTTCTGCTACTGACTCTTGCTTGGTGTCAGATTATTGACGTCTGAAGAAGCAAGTTCATACTGGCAATTTCATTAAACAGACCGGGGCCTGAGTAGCATGAAGAACCATACACAGCTACAATACCCAGGCACCTCGTTGTCAGGCTGGACACCAGCTCGGTCACAGACTGGAGGAAGATGGACTTCAGACCTGAACTGTGGAGATGTGGGATTGCCACTGGGTGCCACATCTCATCTCGATATCATTCTGCATTGATATTGTCTCCAGTGATGATAAGCCTTGTTTATTCAGTGAGGGAGATGCCGCCCCAAACCATCACACTTACACCACCTAACGCTGTTACCCTATCAGTGCAACAATCAATCCACACTTTGACCCCACAATCCAACTGCTGCAGGGGGAATCTGGACTCTTCGGTGAACATATTGTTCCTCCACATGTTGAAGTTCCAGTGCTCATGGTGCAGACACCAGCAAATGTGGGCCTGATGGTGAAAGGCAGTCATGGTAGGCTTCCTGGAAGCCCTATTAGACCAGAGCTCTGTTTATGGCTCCTAAATGCCGGTGTCATCTTTTTGGGATGTCCGCTTCACAACCTCTGACATCCTCTGTTCTATGAAACTATAATACTGCTGACACTTGGTTTTGTGCAACACATTCTTTAAGTTGCCCAATGGCTTGGTCCCTATCCGGGTGAGTCTTAGATTATCATAAGCTCACAGTAAGAGTCCATAGCAGAATAAGCTGTTTATACTGGCAAGTTTATCATGGATGCAACCGCCATATTCAGCTCTACTGCTCAACCCACAAATGCATTTTCCTTACACGTGTGGCACAATTTAAGAGGAAATAAATAGATTTTCAAAGGGAACGAAGTATTGTTACAACTAAGAAAAAATCACGCAAATACAAATGTCCTAATTTTTTGTGCAAATTTCAGATATATACATTTTTAAATGATGTCAGATGTCAGATTTATGCTTACTTTTCAGTCCAGTGGGTAAAATCCTTGGCCAGGAAATGGAGAAACGATAATGATTCAGCTTCATGTCCTTCATCAAGGCAATATCGTCCTTAAAGACAGACAGCAGGAAATATTTCTTTAAATAAATCACAAAAGACGATGTCTTTAGATGTGAGTCTTTGTCTGATAACATATGAAACAGGTCTACTTTATATTATCTTCAGATAAAGCTGTAATCAGATTGAATGTTTCCTAAAATTCCTAAAACATATTTTCCATTCTAACTATAACAGTTCTGGATGTTGGTTGGGGTGTAGGAGTCATAAGTCATGTGGCTTATGTTGGAGTCTGTGGTTTGATTTGAATGTAAGACCACTCTTTTATTTTATTTACTTACTTTCATGTTGATCTTTTATTTTTACATCAATTTTTAAATTGATCTTTTACTTAATATTTACTTTTACTTTATTCACTGTCAGGAGTCTGACACCTTTTGAAAATGTTACCTTTAGTGTAAAAGCTATTCCTTCACATTCTGGGCTGCAAATAAACATTAGAAGGAAAGCAAGAAAACGGAAAATATATTTTTATATTACAGTTATATTTGTAATATGCATCCATATGTAATGTAGGCTGTGATAATGAATGTTAGAGGAAGAGAAACGAGTCATTTAGATCGGTTGAGCAATAAAATATTGTGTGTAACAGTTTGGCACTGAAGAAAATTCCATTTTTTCCACGTCACCTTGAATTTGTGGTATCCCTCACATGAAGAGTCTGCTGTGTCATTCAAGAATATTTTCCCCTTTTTATGGGAAAATGCATCCCAGATGCTTATTCCCTTTCCATCGACATTCCAGGCTCCTTCAGTCTGGTAAGCAGAGCTGCCAACTCCCCAGGAGAAACCTGCAGAGGAACAAAAAACAATCAACAAATCTTATTTTATTTTGTATTCACTCCTGAGCTTATAATCATGATCACATTACGGTTTTCCAGGTTAAGGTAGAATTTTATATTTATGTTTAATTATACGATCAACTTTTAAACCAACATGAGCACTTTAAGAACGTTTTATTCTTACTTTGTTCTTTAATAACATTTTGTGCCCAGAAAAAAATTATGGCAACTTAGGAAAGTTGTGTGATATGAACGAACGCTGGAGACATAGGTTTCCTATACAGTGTTGCATAATATGGAATTAAAAGTCATGCCTTCATAAATATTGAAAAAGCAAAAGAGAAAAATGTCATAATATATTTATGTTCTGAAAAATCTTGGTCAGGTGAAGAAGAGAGTTCAGACAGGGTGGAGTGGGTGTAGATGCGTAGCAGGTGGGATTTGTGGGAAAAAGCCAGAGTGAAAGAAAAATTTACATGAAAGATGGTATACAAAGTTCAGAGATGATATTACTGACAAAACGACAGGAAGCCAAGTCGGAGGTGGAAGAGTTGAAAATATTACGATTTTCATCAGGAGTGACCAGAATGGACACGATTAGAAAGAGGAGGAATGGTGAATATAGTAAACAAAGAATGTTGAAAATGAGCTGCCAGTCCTGAGGAAAAGAGAAACACCTTAGATGTATTATAGCTGTATTGAAGGATGCTGGGGATAGGGTGAGATGGAGGAAGACGATCCGCTGTGGGAACGTCTGAAGGGTGAAGTCAGAAGAAGAACAAGTAGTAGTGGAAGAATCTTACGCTTGATTCATTTATGAATTCTCAGATAACTCCAGTTGCTGATGACTAAGATATTTGTATTTTCTTGGTTTTGTGACAGATTGTTTAATAAATTGGTTACATAATAAAGATTTAACTCTGAGCACTGAAAAAGAAATATGAGTGTGAAAAAGTGCGGGATTTGGGATTTGCATGTAGGAACTAGGAATACTCGATTCTACTAACAAAAATGAGCTTAGCTGAATATACCAGAGAGATATTTTATATATACGGACACTATATTGCTCTCCTGTGGAACTGTAAGTCCAGCATGTGGTCTGCTGGTCTCCTGGTTTCCTACCAGTTGGGAAGGTGCCGTAGTAGAAGGACGTTCTCTCGTTCTTTGTCCAGTCAAAGTCCTCAGTGGCTGACACACATAGCACCAAGGCAAGCACATGGTGTGGTCTCAGGATTCCCCACTGCAGCATTGTCATCTTTGGCAAAGAGAGCACTGTCTTTAGTTACAATTGACTAGCCAGATTTTAGCACAGATTTAACATCCTCATAGCTTGCACATTCATTTTTTAAAGTGTAGTGTCTTCATTACACTAATCCTACTCATATTTTGGAACGGCACAAAGGACTTTTTTGGAAAAAATATAAATACCTTTTGATTTTCTTTGTACCCTCGTGAATAATTAAAAAACAAACAAACATATTAGGGTAGGATTAGGTTTGTCACCAGTGATGACATAGACCTCATAGGGTTAATGGCAGTAATGTGTGGGATGGCAGCTGCTGCAAGTCTGCTCTGAACTATACAGGATGGAATATCACAGAACATGCATAAATGTTTAAGTAAAACAAAGACTCAGAAACTTACACTCAGGTGTCAGGTGTCCACAGGTTTTGAGTAAAATCATCCTAATTCAACCCCAAACCTCAGGATCATTTAAATATCCACTGAAAAAAGTTACATATCCACCGAAACACCCAGTCATTGTCAGAAGAGCCTAGTTTCATTTCAGCCAGCTGTAGGACACACTGACACAAAATGCTATCAGAGACAGAAAATAAGCCAACTTGTCCAACACGGTTAGGATGACTGACATTTCAAGCTGCTAAATCTTTTCAAGGATGTGGAAGATTTTAAAAAGTAAGAGTGGGGAAGAAATACAAAATTGCCCTTAATTCCTGTGCTGTTTCTTTCCCTATACTTTCCCCCTTGCTCAGCCTGTGTCGCCCCAACCACCTCACTCAGAACCACATATAGATGTCTGACCTGCTGCATTTGTCTCAGTTGGAAACTGCTCCAAAATGCAAGAAAAGTCTCCAAGCTTCTCCACCTGATCAGTGTTCGCCAGCGTTACTAGCTGGTTCGCTGCCAATGGTAACAAAAACAAAACCGAGTCGAGTATCCAGGACATTTTCTGCTATTCATCAGCACATGTACAGCAACCCCCACCCCACCAGACGCACACTGAATACCTCTCCATTTGAAAGCAGTGAAGTGTGAGCATAAAGCTTTTGCTGGGGCCAACAGATCTTTTTGAAAAGGAGGGATTTTGACACTGTAAGCAAAGTTAATGGCAGAGAGCATAATTTGTTTGCAAAACACATCAGAAGATATTAAAAAAGTTATCTGCTGGATGTGACTACTGGTTAAACCTCTATTTGGCAGCAGTAATGTTTATTGGGTTAGTTTGTCTCTGGCGTAGCTGAGTACAATACTCAGGTGGGGAAGAATTTCAGTACAATCTTCCTGATAGATGTGCTTCAGCTCGGCCACATGTTTTTTCTTGATGCATCCTCCAGCTTCAGCTGATGTTTCGGCCAACTCAGCGTTATTGTTTTAGCTTCATACGACCACTAGCCCATTACAGCTATGTAAGGGTAGGGTCTGTGGTAGTACCGTCTATATTAGTGTCCCAATGCTGAATTATTATGATCATTATTGCCATTGAAGTCAAACATTCATTAATTTAGAAAATACAGGAAATAATCAGTCAACATTTTCATATGATAACCTTCTATTAGGTAAAACAGCTTGCTAGAGCACATGAGTGATGAAGGTAAAGGTTAGGTACTGGTTCCACTGGGACAGGCCTTTCCATGACCTGCTGTGACTCAAGAACATTACCAAAATCCACCACTTGATTCAGATCCAGTCTGAAATGAATAAGTTCTTAATTTTCCCATGATTCCCACTCTAGCTAGATTCAGGAATACAAAGTGTGGTCATTTTTCTTGGAGTTCTGAAACCAGAAGGTGAAACAATCAGAACAATACCACGTTTTCATTACAGTCGGGTTTGCAGAGGTGACGCTCGTATAGTAGAAGCTCACCAGCCTCAGGGTCATGACCACTTCAGTAAATACAGTGTGGTGGAGCGGGGCCCTGTACTAAGCATGAATACAGCCATTATCATAAGATGCTTTGTTTACAGAGCTTTGTTGAGAAATGCTGAAATGTTCAGAACTAAAACTGTTGGCACTGCACTCTCACTTTATGTTTGGGTGCTGAAGCTGTGCTCTCTGCTTGTTGTGTTTGCGTTCACGCATCTGTTTCACTTGCTCGCTCTATGTGCATTTGTATATTGTTGTTGTTTTTTAGTGCACTGCATGTGGTTGCAGTGTTTGCGCCTGTGGAAAAAGGAGACAACATGGGTTTAGCATATCAAAGGCACAAGGGCCCCAACGACTGTTACAGAAATGTTTTGAGATTTCTAGCACCTGTCCGCTCACCTCAGCTGGCCATATTTAAGGGGCTTTATTGTAGCCTCGCAGAGCTGACATGAACATCTTTACTAAGGTCCCAGGATTAGTCCAACAAACCAGGTATGTTGAGAGTGCCCTACTCTGGCCACAGTCCACAGAGCAAGACACCCACCAGTGTTATTGAGGTGGGTGGGCCTGTGGCTTTACAGCCAGTTTCTCCTGATTATCATGCTGTGCTCTCTGTGATGCCTCCAACACCAGTTTCCCAAAATCACCTGGAGAGTGATGAAGGCTGTATGCACACATACTGTCTCGCATTTTAAAGTGCCAGATGATAGCGCTAATCCAAATTAATCTGAAGCATGAAACTAATTTGATGTAAGAGTTGGAAATAGAAATAAACGCTGCAGTGATTTTTTTTTTTTTAAAGACATTTTCAAAGGCTAAAGTCTTGACTTTTGGTTCCAGACCACAGACTGGGGAGTTTCTTTGATCGCTGTAGTTTATGTCTTGATTATTACATGTGTGTGTATATATAATTCATTCAAAGTTTTCTGTATCTACAGCAAGCTGGGGTCTGTGCTCCAACGTGCCTTCTACGGGTCCAGTGGGAGGGTGAGTCAAATAATTACTTAGTTACTTTGTCAAAGTATAGATGGGTTTCCTAATATAAAGTGACTAGAATTTAAAAAATGAGTCAATCTGTGACACATAATTTGAATTGTCAAGTTAATTAGTAACTATTCTGATAATTGAGAAATCATGTTAGTAATTTTCACACCAAAAGAAAAAAAATGGTCGACTTAACCTTCACCTAACATATAAACCCACATATTTCAGTTTAAGAGAGCATAATGTTATTTTTATACAAAAATTAGCTTAAAGGCATACCTTTTAAAATTCTTTAACACATTTAAAATCTTAGCATCACATCTTACATCACTTTATCAAAAATAAACAAATCAACAAAAATCATTTATGATTTGACTTGGTGTTGTTTAAATCAAACAAACTTCATCCAACCCTGCATACGTTTTCTTCTGCTTATCCGGGGCTGGGTTGCAGGGGCAGCAGCCTAAACAGAGAAGCCCAGACATCTCTCTCTCTCCCCGGCCACCTCCTCTAGCTTGTCCGGGTTAACACCAAGGTGTTCCCAGGCCAGCCGAGAGATAAAATCTGTCCAGCGTGTCCTGGGTCTGCCCCGGGCCTCTTCCCACTGGGACATGCCCAGTACACCACACCCAGGAGGCGCCCAGGAGGCATCCTGGAGGCATCCTTTGACATGGCTACCCAGATGGCTGAATTCCTCACCCTGTCTCTAAGGGAGAGGCCAGCCTCCCTGAGGGACACGGTCGAATGCCTTCTCCAAGTCCACAACACACATGTAGACTTGTTGGGCAAACTCCCATGAACCATCAAGTATCCTCGAGAGGACAAAGAGCTGGTCCAGTATTCCACGACCGAGATGAAAACCACATTGTTCCTCCATCTGTTAGTCAACCGAGGTTTGGCTAACGGATGGACTCTCCTTTCCAGACTTTGGCTGTAGGAGAGGCTGAAGAGTGTGATCCCCCTCTGGTTGGAGCATGATGGTTCCCTTCACCTCTGCTGTCCACCATCTGGTTTGGGGGTTATCATTAATGGAGTAGCTCCAGCAATCGAGGTGCTGAACATGGTCCATTCAGACTCAATGTCCCCAGTCTCTCTTGGAATAGTGTTGAAGCTCAGCCAAATGTGGGCATTTAAGATCTCGCATTGTCTATTAGGTGTTCCCAGCGCAGCCTCATTGACAGCGCAGCCTCCCCCGCCACCTGATCAAACCTACTATAAGGTGGTGATCAGTTGACAGCTCACCACCTATCTTCACCCAAGTGTTCAGAACATGCGGCTGCAAATCTGATGATACGACTACAAAATCCAGAATCGACCTGCGGCCTAGAGTGCTATGTGCTATGTGCACTTATGGACACCCTTATGTTCGAATATGGTGTTCGTTATGGACAAACTGTGGTTTGCACAGAAATCCAGTAACAAAACACCACTTGGGTTCAGATCTGGCAGGCTGTTCCTCCCAGTCAGGGCCATCCAGGTCTCTCTGTCACATGAGTGCTGAAGTCTCCGAGTAGGATGACAGAGTTCTCAGGTAGAGCACCCTCAAGCACCCCGGCCAAGGTACTCCAAAAAGACCCGGTACTCTACATGTATATATATATATAACACCCAGCACGCCCCTGCGGGCGGTTTATCCTTCAAGCTCGGGTCCTCTACCAGAGGCCTGGGAGCTTGAGGGTCCTGCGCAGTATCTTAGCTGTTCCCAGGACTGCGCTCTTCTGGACAGAGATCTCCGATGTTATTCCTGGGATCTGCTGGAGCCACTCGCCTAGCTTGGGAGTCACCGCACCTAGTGCTCCGATTACCACGGGGACCACCGTTACCTTCACCCTCCACATCCTCTCGAGCTCTTCTCTGAGCCCTTGGTATTTCTCCAGCTTCTCGTGTTCCTTCTTCCTGATATTGCTGTCATTCGGAACCGCTACATCGATCACTACGGCCGTCTCCTTCTGTTTGTCTACCACCACTATGTCCGGTTGGTTAGCCACCACCATTTTGTCCGTCTGTATCTGGAAGTCCCACAGGATCTTAGCTCGGTCATTCTCCACCACCCTTGGGGGCATCTCCCATTTTGACCTCGGGACTTCCAGGTTATACTCGGCACAGATGTTCCTGTACACTATGCCAGCCACTTGGTTATGGTGTTCCATGTATGCCTTGCCTGCTAGCATCTTGCACCCTGCTGTTATGTGCTGGATTGTCTCTGGGGCATCTTTACACAGCCTGCACCTGGGGTCTTGCCTGGTGTGATAGACCCCAGCCTCTATGGATCTTGTACTCAGAGCTTGTTCTTGTGCTGCCATGATTAGTGCCTCTGTGCTGTCTTTCAGTCCAGCTTTGTCCAGCCACTGGTAGGATTTCTGGATATCAGCCACCTCCTCTATCTGCCGGTGGTACATACCGTGCAGGGGCCTGTCCTTCCATGATGGTTCCTCGTCTCCCTCCTCTTTCTTGGGTTTCTGCTGCCTGAGGTATTCACTGAGCACTCGGTCAGTTGGGGCCATCTTCCCAATGTATTCTTGGATGTTCCTTGTCTCATCCTGGACTGTGGTGCTGACACTCACCAGTCCCCGGCCCCCTTCCTTCCGCTTACCGTACAGCCTCAGGGTGCTGGACTTGGGGTGAAACCCTCCATGCATGGTAAGGAGCTTTCTTGTCTTTATGTCAGTGGCTTCTATCTCCTCCTTTGGCCAGCCTATTACCCCAGCAGGGTACCTGATCACGGGCAGGGCGTACGTGTTGATGGCCCAGATCTTGTTCTTACCGTTCAGCTGACTCCTCAGGACTTGCCTGACCCTCTGCAGGTACTTGGTGGTTGCAGCTTTTCTAGCGGCCTCTTCATGGTTCCCATTTGCCTGCGGGATCCCCAGGTACTTGTAACTGTCCTCTATGTCTGCAATGTTGCCTTCT